AAGTTCAGAAAATGTCAGAGAATGCAATGCTGTAAATTGTGCATCTTTCCAATTTTTTAATATATCGCGAGATGAAATAAAATTGAAATATTAATGATAAAAATGAATATTACGAATAGATATCAATGTTCAAACGTAATTTTTTTTCGTTTTTGTTTCCAATATTTTGTACTTTACACGTTCGTGTTTTTGTTTAAAAACGAAACTTCATTTGATTATTCGACTATCGTCATGAGATTATCTGATTATCGTATGTATATTTTTGTTTCTTTCGATTGACGCATGAATTTACGTATAGAAATAAATGAATAAGCAGGAACGATAACAATGATATCATTAGGATAATAATAATAATAATAATAATAATATCAATATAAATGTAATATCCAATTACAATATTTTTTTTTTATCAATGATTCTCTCAGATGACAAATGAGATTTTCCAATGTAACTTAATATACAAACAATTTTATTCACGCACATATATTTGTTCTAATTACTTTTTCTTTTCTCTACTCGTAATATATTGGAATTCTATTTTATCGTTACGTATCAGGTAGGAGGAGAGAGAGGGGAGGGATGGGAGGAAACAAACAAACAAATAAAAAAGAAATAATTCGTGAGTTTAAAGGGGATTTGCATAAAAATCGATGTAAAAATTAAGTGATATCCGGTCGAATGTAGATGCCACCCTTGTTCAACCAACTTTGTTGGTTGGATGGATGGATGGATGGTTCATCATTGGAGGTTCTCGGTCTCTTTCACAAAGAAAGAATCTGTCTTTCACGAAGAGGAGAATATCCGGCTGGCCGAGCTTAACTGGCGAAAGAGGAGAGAAAGATGAGTCGTCTTTGTCGTCTCTCTCTTTCTCTCTCTCTCTCACACACACACACATATACACACATTCCCTCTCTTTCTCACTCACTCTCTCTTTCTCTATTTTTTTCTTTCTTTCTTTCTTTAAATTCTTTTTGCTTGTATTTCATTTCTTCGCGAGTTCGGAAGATCTCGCGGCAGTTAGTTGAGTTGTTGGAGGAATAACACAGGACGGAAATAAAAATGTAAAAAAGCCGCAAGTAAGTAAAAAGTCCACGCCACATCCGTTCGTTCGTTCGTTCGTTCGTAAAGAGGGGAAAGAGAGAGAGAGAGAGAGAGAGAGAAGGGGGTTATTAAATGTGTACATCGTAATAAAATTATTTATCTCAGGTTCCCAATATTCAAATTAATGCTTCAAAATCAAACCCGAATGATCCTCAAACATAATCGGTTTGATTGATTTTGTTTGTTTCTGTAATTTACATTAAAAAAAAAACAAACAGTTTA